TTTCAGGGGGGGGGAAGAAGGGAGGCCGCCATGTCCTTCCCACATCCCGAAGCCGGACAAAGAGGAGGAGAAACGGAAAGGTGAGCGGCAAGGCTATTCTGCCGATCGTGATGTTTATGCCGACGGCGTATCCTGCCGGCAACACCTTTACTCGGGGTGCTTGTCGGCAGCGCTGGAATCGAAGTACGGAGTTAGCATTGTAAAGGTAGTTCAACGCTGTAGCGTGATAAGCATGTGGCAGTAGCCTGCCAATACCCCCTGCGCTCTACGGAGCGCCGCGCGCTGGAGCAGGCAAGTAGTGCCATCCAGCCAGCGGACCGTGGCGGACGTCTCGCTCAGCTTCTCCCCAACGCAGTCGTGGCACGTCTTGCCGAGCCTGCCCTGTACTGCGTCGCCGATGGCAATCGGCTTCCTGACGTTCCGGGGCTGCCAGCTGCGGCTCGGTTGAGCTGCCTCCGGCAGGACTGGGGTCCCAGGTTGTCTGCTGTCCTGCGTCTTCTCGCTGCCAGTGGGCGCCCTCCTCGCGCGGTTCCGCCCGTTGCTCTCGAGGCTCCGGTGGCTGCTCTTGTAGCTCAGCTGGTGGCTCCCGACCGACGCTCTGCTCGCGGCCATCGTCGCTCAGCTGGTTGCCCTCGTGGCTCAGAAGGCGGCCCAGCTGGTGGCCCTCGCTGGTCTGCGCGTGGCCCGTGCAGTAGAGCTCGTCGCCCTGGTAGCTCTGCGGTAGGCCATCGCAATTTTCCCTGTAGCCCTCGTAGCTAAAGTTGTGGCCCTCGCAGCATAGCAGGTGGACCTGTCAGCTGAGCAGCTGAGCTAGTGTCTCTCGAAGTTCAGCTCGTGGCACTTCCTGTTCAGCTCGTCGTCCAAGTAGCTTCGCGGCAGGCTCTCGAAGCTTTGCCCATGGCCCGCGTACCTCAGGTTGTGGCCCTCGTAGCTCAGCAGGTGGCCCTCGTAGCTGAAACTGAGCGTATGGCCCTCGAGGGTCTGCTCGTGGCCCTTGCAGTTGAGCTCGTCGCCCTGATAGCTCTGCGGGAGGCTCTCGCAGTTCTGTTCATGGCCCGCGCAGCTCAGGTTGTGGCCCTCGTTGCTCAGCAGGTGGCCCTCGTAGCTGAACTGGTGGCTCTCGAAACTCTTCTCGCTGCCTTTGCAGGTCAGCTCGTTGTCCAGGTCGCTACGCGGGGGGCCTTCGTAGATCAGGTTGTGGCCCTCGTAGCTCAAACAGATGTACCCTCGTAGCTGAGCTGGTGGCTCTCGAAGCTCTGCTTGCGGCATTTGCAAGTAAGCTCGCTGTCAAAGTAGCTGTGCGGGCGGCTTTCGTAGTTTTTGCTTGTGGCCCTCGTAGCTCAGACGGTGGCCCTCGTAGCTCAGCCGATGGCCCTCGTAGCCGAGCTGGTGGCGCTCGCAGGTCTGCGCGTGGCCTTTCTGTAGAGCCCGTCGTCCTGGTAGTTCTGCGGGAGGCTCTCCAATTCCTGCTCGTGGCCCGCGCAGCTCACGCTGTGGCCCTCGTAGCTGAGCAGGTTGCCCTCGTAGCTGAGCTAGTGTTTTTCGAAAGTCTGCTTGTAACCCTCGTAGCTCAGAACGTGGCGTTGGTGGCCCAACCGGTGGCCCTCGTAGCTCGGCGGCTGGTGGCTCTCGTAGCTCAGCAGGTGGCCCCTGTAATTCTGCGTCGCGCTCTGTCCAAAAGCCGTGCTCCTCGTAGTCCTCCTCCTCGTCTGCCTTCTCGTTCTCCTTATCATCTGCCTCCTTCGCCTCCCAGCGGTTTCAATCGGAACCGTCGGCTGCCAGGTCGTTGTGCTTCGCTCTAGGGTTGCCTGCCGGTGGCCCTCGAAACTCGGCTGGTAGCTCTCGTAGCTCTGCTGGGGCCGCCCCACTAGCTCTGCTCGTAGCCCTCGCAGCTCTTTTTCTTGCCGTCGCAGCTCTGCTGGTGGCCCTCGAAGCCTAACCCGTGGCGCTAGAAGCACTCCTTCCTGCTGTCGTAGTTCAACTGGTGCCCTCCGGAACTCAGCATATTGGCTTCCGTAGAACATCTGTAAGGGCGAACCAACCTTGTAGTATGCGCCCTGGTTGTTGCAGCATTCCTGGCCGTACTGGTCGTGCTGGACATGGTCGCGGTTCTTGCCAGTGCCGCGCGAGCACTTCTTTGACGATGTACTTCGCCTCTGGCGCAGGCGTTTTTGAAGCTGTCGTCAGGGTCCTTTGTCTTCTGCCCTTGAGTGCCTGTGCGTAGGGCTTCACCTGAGTGCACACCGCCGTCGTGGGGTCGTCCTTGCTGACGCACTTGGTGTCGTACGTGTTGTTGTTGTAGGCGGCAGTGGTGACGATCATGATGTCTTGTGCGTGGGGTTGGAGCCCGTGCCTCACACAATACCCCATCCGCTTGAAAGCTGCCGCTGATCTCAATCTCGGCATGGCGTCCTCTTGGCCTCGTTCACGACGCGCGCGCAGCCACCGTTGCGGCGGCGCGCTGAAGCCAGCGACCCCCCGTGGGTTCTTCAGCATCAGCATCAGCATCATCATCATCAGCATCAGCAGCATCATCAACAATATCATCATCAGCTGCATAATCATCAGCATCATCATCAGCATCATCACCATCAGCTTCATCATACTCACCATCATCATCATCATCAGCATCATCAGCATCATCATCAGCATCATCAGCATCATCATCATGACCTCCGTCGTCATCATCATCAGCAGCAGCATCCTCGTTGTCGTCGTCATCATCGTCGTCATAATCATCATCTTCATCATCATGATCATCATCATAATCATCGTCATCATCATCAGCATCATCAGCAGCCACGCCAGCATCACCATCATCATCAGCAGCATCATCATAAGCATCAGCATCATCATCGTCATCATCGGCATCATCCCGCGCATCCTCATCCTACGTACTTCTCATTATTATGATCATCGCCTGCAGCAGCAGCGTCATCAACATCAGTGTCATCATCATAATCGTCATCAGCATCGGCGCCGTCGTCATCATCAGCAACATCATACTCATGGGCATCATCATCATCATCAGCAGCAGCATCATCATGATCATCCTTACTATGATCATCATGATCATCACCACCATCGTCACCATCACAAGCATTAGCATCATCAGCATTAGCATCAGCATCAGCATCAGCATCAGCATCAGCATCATCATCATCAGCATCAGCATCACCATCAGCAGCATCAGCTGCATAATCGTCACCATCAGCAGCACCATCCTTATCACCATCATCGCCATCATCATAACCATCATCAGCATCATCACCATCATCATCAGCATCATCATCTCCTCCTCCTCCTCCTCTTCCTCCTCCTCCTCCTTCTCCTCCTTCTTCTTCTCCTCCTCCTCCTCCTCCTTCCCCTCCTCCTCCTCCTGCTTCTCCTCCTCCTCCTCCTCCTCCTCCTCCTCCTCCTCCCCCTCCTCCTCCTCCTCGCCCCTCCTCCCTCCACGCCTCGCCGCCAGGCCCCCCCCCCAAAAAAAAACTCCTCGGCGGCCCCGCGGCGCGCCCCGCCGCCCCCCTCGGCGACGCCGCCCCGGCCCGCGGCGCGCCGTGCAGCGGCACCACGCGGAGGCGCGGGATGGGTGAGGGGGGGGGTCTGTGGCGCCGGCGGCGCGCGCGGCCGCCGAAGGGGGGGGGGGAAGGGGGGAGGCGGAGGAGGGAGGGAGAAGCGAGCGAGAGAGAGGAGGAGGAGGAGGAGGAGAGGAGGAGGAGGAGGAGGAGGAGGAGAGATGGGGGAGAGGGAGTGGGAAGAGAGGGGGGGGGAGGAGGCGGGGGAGGGGGGGGGAGAGGCGGAGGAGGAGGACAGGAAGCGGAGGAGGGCGGGAGGAAAGGGGGGCGTGGATGGCAAGGGGGGGGCTGCGGAAGGGGCGGTGAGGCGGAGGTGGGGGGCGGGGGGAGGGAGAGGGGGAAGGGGTGTTGGAATCGTCCTTTCGCGAAGCGACAAAATAGGAAGAATGTATGAGGCTTCTGGTGCGATGCTCTGGCCACAGCCCGTCAACGATCCTTTTGAAATAACAATGTCGAAATGTATGGGTTCTATATGTGCACACTCGACGGCCAAGGCCCGAGCTTGCCAAGAGGAATAACATCGGCACGCTACGCAAGAGCTTCAGGCCAGAAGGAAACCTTAGGTTATGTGAAGAATGCAACACACACGCTGTTTTTTTGGGAGGCGAACCCACGGCTTCTCTCAGCGTGGCGGCCGTTTGCACACACGCTGTGCGCAGCGCCGAAAAGAGCAACAGTTGTTGGGGCTTGCGAGGTCGAGGATCGGCGAGGTCGAGGATCGGCGATCATGGGGCCCATGGTTACTCTCAACAACCTCCAGCGAACTAGCCCAGCTCTTTTCCCCATGCAGTGCGACACGCGTCCACTCCGAGGAGGGCACTCTCCAAGTGTCGGCAGCTTCCCCTGCAAACTCATCAGCATGCCCCTTACCACCTGCCTACCGCGACGCAAGACCTCGGGCTGCAGCTTCTCCCCTCGACAAGTGCAAGCTCGTGAGAAGAACGATGACAGTATTGGCGCCTGTCACATGATGCATGCGCGTGCTTCCCGATGGCCGCCCACAAGCCGATGTCAGGTTGGACAGGCCCTGGATGGAGATAGGCTCTGCCTCGCCAGCTCTTGTTTATCGACTCCGTCGTTGTCTGTAAGGTATGTGATCAGGCCACGTGCACGTCGAAGGACATACCCTAAGACTGGCGCATCCCATCTGTAATCCCGTCTGATATACGGCATGTCCGCTTCTCAGCTTGAGTAAGATATGGCAATGGTAACAATAAGCGTCACGGCATGCATATCCGAGTGCTACCCGATCAGCCCTCCTCGCCGCCGCGTCGAGCTCCCTCGAGACTCGACCCAGGCGACCTCCGGGTTGCTCCAGCGAAGCTGAAATGAAAAACTCGCACGCCTCGCCACATGCAACCTCAAAGAAACATGCCTGCGTACATGAAAACACAGTCGCCTGCCACGGGCGACATCAAACGAAAGTCACGCCTGCACCTCTTCTTTGCCCTCGGGCTCGCAAGCTAGGTCAGGCTCAAGCAAGTTGCCTGCGACCGCGAGAGAAGGGTCAGACTTGCCCGCAGCCACGAAAAATCCCAGCAGTCCCAGCATCTCATCCAGCTCCTTTTGCGCCAGATGCTTCGTACCGAGATCTGCCACGTTGACTTTGCCGAGCGTCTTGGAAAGGATGACACGACGCTTGGTTACATGACGCTGGAGCCAGAGAGTCTTTGTCTCGATGTGTCGGATGCGCCCTGCCCCTCGGCGGTGCGCGATCCCACTGGCGGCCGTAGCGTCGCCAGCCAAACGTAGCTCCAGCTCGTATCCCATGTCGCGCGCCAACGAGACCAGGCCGATCCCGCAGGACGCAGTGTGCACTAGAGCATGCCACTCGGCCTCACCTGAGCTGAGAGCCTCACTGCCTTGGGTCGCACTGAAGACTCGGATCATGTGATCTCCCAGCTGGAAGACTCCGCAGCTCGTACTCTTCCCTGTCCCCAGGCAGCCGGCGAAGTCGCTGTCCGAGAAGCCCTTGAGCACACCTGACCCTCGCTGGCGTCGGAATCTCTGAACCAGCCTCGGACGGCCCAGGAGATACCTGGCAATCCTCTTGACTAGCTCCATGCCGTGCTCACACGGCTCGCGCCTGCACTTCGCTGCCTCCTTGACTGCGTACTTGATGTCCGGGCGGTCCTCGCTGAGATAGCTGGCTCGCATGACCAGGCTGCGGTAGCGAGTCGCCTCCTCGCCCTCCAGGACCCTGCCGCGGTCCACGCTCTTGGCCTTCACTCCTGGCGTCGAGAGGGCCTTGGACCCGCGCCAGAGGTTCAGCTGCTGCATCATGATGAGCGCGCGGCGGGAGTCAGCCTCGAGCTCCACATCACCTCTCGAGGTCCAGCAGAAGACGCGGTTCAGGCAGACCACCTCCTGAACATCACCAGCACTCTTGTTGGGTCCCAACACGCCCTCGAGCTTGGCCCACGCGCACTTCTGCAGCTCGCGGTAGAACTCCAGGTTGTCGGCGCGGGAGCCCTTCAGCGCGAAGTTGTCGCCGTAGACGTAGGCCGCGAGCTTGCCGTCGCCTCTGCGGTATATGCAGGGATACCACACGCCACAGGAGAAGCCCATCTTGCCCTCCAGCGTCTCACGGACCAACAGCTCGAAGTTCTGGCCCGCGTCGCAGCAACCGTAGAGGCACCTGACCAGCAGCCCGCACACGCTGGGGTCAGCTGAACGAGGATCCTCCGCAGGAAGCTTCACCCACAACTTCCGCTTCATCTCGCAGTGCGGGTGAGCTCTAGTGACGACCAGGAACATGAGGACGTGCTGGTCCTCCTCGGCGTCCCTGGGCGAGCAGCAGAAGGAACTCAACATCCTGAGAGCCTCATACGGGGGTGTCGCACTGAACGTCTGCGAGGGGCCCCCCAAGTCCATGCTCGTGCGGTAGCGTGTCTCCGCCACGCTCAGCCTGCAGCGGACGTTGGGCTTGCGGTCGTCACCCTTGTTGACGTCAACCCAAATCATGGGCACCGGGGCGCGCCCGGTCTCCTCGCGGCAGCGCTGCTTGGTGTCGTACACGTAGGCGCCCAGGCCGCGGAGAAACTCCATCTCCTCCTTGCGGCCAGCTGCCACGAGCTCGGGGTCCAGAGCGGCCCCGCTGATGTTGTGGACGATCTCCGTGTAGTACTCGGGGTAGGCGTCCCAGATCGGCGGCTCGCCCAGGTGCGGCCCAGCCTCCAGCGCACCCAGCTGGCCGCGGGCAATCGCCTCACGACGCAGCCCACGCAGCACCGCAGCCACACGCTTCGGTGGGTACCGCTCGATGATGCGCATGTCACGCCGACCTAAGCCGACCGTCTGGCAATGCCTAGCACACCCAGGACACCGACGCGTCAGCTCTCGGGCTATCTCGGCGGAGTTGGTCAACCATCCCGTGGGCTTCTTGACAAGCGCCGGGCCGACAGCATCGGTGCACCACAACCCATGCGCACATTGATCGCACTCTACGTAGTGTGCTCCTGCCATCTCGGCGATCTCTCGGATCATCCAGAGACGCCAACTCCTCGATGATGCTGGCTGCTCGTGCAAGAAGAGGCGGCCAGCCTTGATCTGCTCTTTGCAGCGCTCGGCACAGAAGACCAGGTGGACAACGCCTCGCTCCATGATGGCGTTGACGTCCACACCCTGGATGACGTTAAGGGCCTGCAGGTCCGACCACGGCGCACACATCGGGCTGCCAGTGATCAGCAGGAGCTGTTCCAGCTCGATGGTGGCCTGCGCCCGCTGCCTGTCGCCCTCCTGGCTGAAGTCGTAGCCGGTCCTGATGTCGCAGGCTGTGCCGGGCTCGAGGTCGAACGCACTCGACCGAGATGTGAACCGTCCTGGTCCGCGCAGCTCGCTGACGGCCACCCTCCAGTCGCCGAAAGCCGCCAGCAGCGCGCAGAGCTCCAGGGAGTCCGCGCCCATGGCATCCCCAGCTCCAGGCGGCGCCTGGAGGAGCCCGCTCGACCCAGCAGCCTGCGCCTGAGGCGTGGCTGGCGCCTGCGCGGGCGTCCTCGGCTGCTCGCCGCTGATCGCTGGCGCGAGGGGTGCTGGACCGCCTGTCGCCGCGAGGCGGCGCCTCGATGCCTGCGGCAACTCCGCGGGCGAGCCTCGACGCTCAGCAGCTCGTCGGCCAGGTCGCTCGATCCCCATCGGCGCCTCAGCCGGGCTGGCTGCCTGAGGCAGTGCCCCGGAGCTCGCGCCCTCCTGGCGCGCAGGCGCCCTGTCAGCAGCCTCCAGCTGGCGAGCCGCCGCTCCGAAGACTCGGGGGCAAGCTCCGGGTCGTTCGCCATGGCCTGCTGGATGCGCTCACGGCACTCCGAGCTGTGGGCCTTGGCTGGTGCGTTGGCGCGGGCCGCTAGGCAGCCCGGGCGCCCGTCTGTGAAACCGTGCTTGGCCAGCTCCACGTTCCTGCGAACGTACACGTTCCGAGGTTCAGCTGGAACCTGCTCTGGCACAACCCTCGGCTGCTGTGCAGCGGGATCGACAGGGGGTTCGTCAATGACCGTCGGGATGCGAACGTTCTCTGGCTTGTCCGGGGTCGGCATCCATGGCGCGCCCCTGATCGAAAGCAACAGGGCTGCATCAGCCCGCTGACTCGGCGGCCTCCTCCTGATGGACCGCGCATGTACGACCCTGCCGTCGTAGCCGACGAGCATCTCGCTCGACTTCTCGATGACGCCCAGGAAGACTCCAATCTTCCAGCGCTCCTCGAACTTGGTGTCGCGCCTCGCACTCGGGAGGAACACGATGATCTCACCGAAAGGCGGCAGCACCTTGCGGAAGGCCATGCCCTTGTGCCTCTCGCGCGGCGTCCGTCCATCGGCGCCGATCTTGCCGCGATTGATACACCCTGCAGCGTGAGCAACCAGCCAAGTCAACACTGGATGGTCGTTCGGGATGTCTGTGCCGTGCAGCAGGGACAGGGCGACTCGCAGAGACCGTGATGCGCCCTTGACCTCCCTCACTGCAACCTCTGCCAGGCCGTTGCTGGCGCTGTCGTAGGCCGGCGCCTCCTCGGGCAGTACCTCGAACTTCAGATTCCTGAGGCGGATCGTCGCCTCTCGCTTGAGCGTCACCAAGGCACCCTCACCATCAGACTTGTAAACGATATTCGGGCGGCCGGTCGCCTCCACCTGGCAGAGGGCGCGGACCACGTTGCACTCATGCTGGATGCCCTTGGACGGGAGGACGTCGGCGCTGACCCGCGAGGTGGCTGAGCCGATGCCGACGAGGATGGGGAGCACGGACTGGCCCGACTCCACCTCCTCCCGCTTCACGAGGCATCCGTAGTCAACTGCAAACGTAGGTACGGCATGCGCTCTCCCAGGAGCGCCCGCTGGGTGACCATCGGCGCGCCCACGCCCAGCCAAGCAGCAGTCGCACCAGTCTCTGAAGGGTGCGTGACCTGCTGCTTCGCGTTGCTCGATCTCAGCCTGGGTAGGTTCCTTCGGCCCCCGTCGTGCTCGCACTGGAGCGGGCTGAGATTCGTGGCGCTCCTCGGCGTCACCCTCGAGCTCGATTGTACTTCCAACTCCGTCGCCCCCTGCCACGGCAGCTCCACCTGGCGGGACAGGATCACCTGCGGCTGCGCCGAGGTGACTCTCGATGGTCGCAACTTGTCCATCATCAACTCCATGAGGTACCACTCCTGTCTCAGAAGCGACGCCATGCAGCGCAGGAGGTCCCACTGCTGGCGCCATCATGGCCGGTCTTACGGCAGCGCCTGCCGCCCGAAAGGGCACAGACGCTTCTTATCCCGTGGCTTGCTGCAGCCACGGCAATCCTCGACCGAGCAGAGCGGCAGCTCCCTCACGAGGGTCTGGGACATCTGGCTCACCTCCTTCGCTGGCACGATGCTCACGTCCAGGTCCCAGGTGCGCTGCCTCCGCGTGAAGCGGACGGTCTTGCCACTCTCGATGTGGACAGCGTGGCTGATGTCGTTGCCGTGCTGGTCCTGCTCGAAGACCACGCGGTGGCCGCTCTTCACGAGGCCGAAGACCGAGAGCAGCGGCCGCCTGACGCCCGTGACACGGGCCCTGATGCCACGCAGCGCACCACCGGTCTGCACCATGAGCTTGCGCTGGCCCTCGTCTGGGATCGGCTCGCCCGTCGCACTGAGGTACTGCGCTCCCGACGGCCTCTCCGCGATCGGGTAGTCGGTCCCCGGCGCGCGCGGGATCGCCGCGACCGCCGCGCCTGAGTCGATCCCGAAGCGCACCGTCTCACAGCTCGAGGACATGGCCGACAGGTCGAGCGCCGCCAGGAAGAGGCCACCCAAGCCCTCGGGAGGCTCAGGCTCGCCCATCTCGCCAAGGGCCAGACTTCTTGGCGACCGGGCAGTCCTTGGCCAGATGCGCTGTCGAACCACAAATCCAGCATGGCTTCGGCTTCGGTCCGTCACCAACCTTGGCTTCACCCTCGCCTCTGCCACGACCTCGACCTCCACCGCCCTTCGGCGGTGCCTTGCCTGACGCAGCCGTCGTATTCCACCAGCAGTCTCGCTTCCAGTGACCTGTCTTGCCACAGATCGGGCACGGCTTGGTCGGCAGGTCGTCGGCGCCCTTGCCTTTGCCGGCCTTGCCGTTCCTGCCCTTGCCGTTGCAGCCCTTGCCGTTCTTGCCACCCTTGAAGCCGAGAGCTGCCAGCTGTCGCGCCAGGGAGTCGATGTCCATCGGGGTCGGGCCTGTGCCAGTACCCGCCGTCGTCGCAATCTGGGCCCGCCTGAAGTTCTCGACCTCGGCCTCCACGAGCTCCCAGGTGTTCAGCCGCTGGCTGTTGAGGAGCAGGTGGTGGTGCAGCGGGCCCTCCTTGAGCGAGCGGACCAGGATGCCTATCTTGATATAATCGGGAAACTCTGCACTCACAGCCTGCTCGTAGCGCTTGACATTCCTGTCGAACGCGATCAGCTTCGAGGGGACGTCGCCCTCGAAGTCCCACGAGAGCAGCTCCTGAAGGAGCCCTGCTGCCCGGGTGCGGCTCTGAGGCTCGTGGAAGGTGACCAGGGTCCTCCACGCCTCCAGCCCCTCGTTCACTCCTGCACTGACAATGCGGTCTAACGAGAGCCCTTTGTTCAGCATGACCAACATATAGTAGAGCTGGCTGCTGGGGCGCACCTGGTCGTCGGGCAGCGTCGCGTTCAGCACTGGCGTGTCGGCATGCCCAGCCCTGTCCATGGCATCCTTCAAGGCTGGCTCGCACGCGCTGGCATAGGCTCGGAAAACCGTACTCCAGTCACGCCAGGTCCCAGGCTCGCCGTTGAAGTCACTAGGCTTGCCGAGGACCCGTGTGTCAATCAATATGTTTGTCTCCTGCGGCGGGCCACCAGGCTGGGCTGCTCGCTGCTGCTGCTCTTGACCTCGGGCCTCCTGAGCCATAGCCTCTGCCGCCTGCACTCTGGCCTCGGCGGACTCTGCCTGGGCTGCCAGCCGCTGGACGACTTGCTGCTGCTGCTGCTGCTGCGCCTGGGCGAGCGCCTGCTCGAGCTGCGCGAACCTGGCCTCGTCCATACTCGTCGTTGACCTCGCGGCCGCGAGCCTTGATGGCCTCGAGAGCCTCGCCCTCGCAGTGCCACCTGGTACGGCGCAGCGCCAGTCGCAGCAGGTCCGTCACGATGATCGCCCAGCTCTCGAGCGGCGATCCGAGGACTAGCTTCCAACCAGTCTCGTCTGCGGCTCCTGTGGCCGCGCTGGCGTCCGTCACAGACGCTGCGGAGAAATGCGCAGCGGTATCGCAGGCAGGCCAACCAACCTTGCTCCGCGCTACCATGATATACGGTATGTCCGTTTCTCAGCTTGAGTAAGATATGGCAATGGTAACAATAAACGTCACGGCATGCATATCCGAGAGCTACCCGATCACCGTCTGTCTGTGCCCACAAAGGAGGCCCATGCGCCTCTAACCAGAGGCGAACGGGTTACAGGCTCTCGACGCTTGTGAAGCCTAGGCCCACCCTGCACAGTTTGGGAGAGCGTGTGCCTCCTCCTCCGCTCGCGCCGCCACAAAGATAAGCTGGTCGCTCGGCGGTGCCCGTGGCCAAAAACAAATCGGTATTGCTCCTCCGCTGATGGAGCCTCGACATCTGTCCAGGCCTTGGAGAGCCATCATCGAAATCGAAAGGATTCGAATTGGTCGTGCTGGCTGAAGGCTTCACGAGAGTATATGTATGAATGCCGGTGGGCACGAATATCGCGATTGTGCGGGCATAGCAAGCACCGGTGCAGAGGAATCTCCAGGTGTCTTTCGCCATGCTGTGGACAAGGCGGACGCAATTAGAACTCGTCGTTGTCGATGTCGAATACTGCCTGGGTCCATGTCCCCCCGTGCCGCCACAGCGAGCAACGTCTCTGACCACTGAACTCCTCTGGGGGCCTCTCCAATTCGACGCAAAATGCAATAATAATCTCCGTTGATACCACCTGCCCTTCCTACCCACAGTAATGACTGGCCGCCTGCTCCCACGAGCTCGACAACACTGACCGAGAAACGTATGCTGAAGATTGCTGAAGGGCTCTCGACCTGTCAACAAAGTGCCTGGGAATGCCAATCGATATGCTCGCACATGATCCCGCCTCTGAGCAGCAGCGAACACGAAGGAATAACTGGAGCCCAATTATACTGCCAGAGCGTGGTTAACGCGGTGCTGACTGGCCCACGGATGTGGCAAACACTTTCAGCACACGTGATGGCCGCCATTGTCCGCACAACTACACCCCATGTCATGTTGACTGCAGCGTGACCCTCGGCTGGAGGTCCATAGCCGAAGCCGCTCACTCAAACATCTCAGGCGCGTGATGTCCAGAATGTGCAACGTTCTGGCCAGCCACCTTCTTGCCCAATGTGACTGTGGCTGTGCCCTGCCGACTAGAGCGTGCCCATCTTGAAATACATGGATGCCGTCGACTTGCTCTGACTATTATCCTTCGCCGCGTGGCCCAATCGAAGCGGCGCCCTGCAGCAAGATCGACTCCCAAGTACGACGTTTGAGAAATTGGCCGCAAGTGGTGTCCTGGTCGTCGCCGCGAGGCCGAGACAATGGCCTGTGCCTGGCGACGCTTGGCTGCGATCAGCACACTCTTGCTGGCAGTCGACGGGTTCTCTTCCGCCAAGAAACATTACGTGGGCCATTCTGCAGTGCGCAAAGCGTGCCGAGCCGACCGCTGACACACCCACGCCGTGGATCCAGATCCCAGCGTGCAGGCCTGGACTCGCTGCTGCTAGGCGTCGGAGAACACGATGAGCCAGTCGCGTCGAGGAGGCCCTAGGTGATGGACCTAGGTGGTCGGAACGGGCAGGACGGCGACCCGAGGTGTGTCATCACGCGCGGTGCCGTGCAGAGCTGGACCTCTAGGCACAGGACCACTGGGGGGAAGTCGAACTTCAGCGCTGCAGTTACCAGGCATGCCCAAGTCACAGCATCGTAAAAAAAGATTCAACGTGGGTGGGGGGGGAGTCGTCGGACGCAGGCAGGCATGACGCTGGGCGTGCTCTGTCTGAACTCTGACTGTGGCAAAGGACGAAAATATGAGAGGAGACGCGCCTCTCAGGCCTCGGCGAAGAGGCCTGCGAAGCGGAGAAGACCTCTGGGGGCGGTCGCGGGGGGGGAGAGAGGGAGGGGGGCGGGGGAGAGAGGGGGGGCAAGCTAGGCGCGTTCGCGCCATGTCTGACATCCTATCCTATCCCTCCCTCCCATCCCGTCCACTTGCGCTGATTTGTCCCCTATCCGCTGACGCATGTCATGGTCGACCTGGAACTCCAAAAAACGGCCCCATCGTGTGCGCAGTCGACGAAAAGGGGAGCTGCGTGCAGGGAGAGGGGAACGGGGGGGGCGATCACGGCGGCGGTGAGGACGACTGGGCGAGCCCAGACCCCCGACGCCATGATGTTTTCATGACGCGACCCCCAGAGGTCCGGACCTATTCGCCGGGACCGGTTTTTCATCCTGAGTTGTTTTTTGACGGCCCCGAGGGCCGGTAAGGGCCCCCAGAGGCGGAAAATATATATATATAAAAAAAAAAAAAAAAAAAAAAAAAAAAAAAAAAACTTCCGTCGTGATTTTTTCATGACTCGAGGGGGTCTGGGGAGGGTGACGGCCTCTCTGCTCCCCGGCGCCTCGCCTCCCGTTCTCGCCTCGGCGCGCGTGCGGGACCCGCTGCTGCGCCGCGCCCCGCTGCCCCCCCGTGTGCGGAGGAGGGCGCCGGCGGCCTGCTTGCTGCGCGGCCTGCCCGCCGCCTCCACCCTCCGCCCGGGCCGTCGCTCGCACGGCCATGCCGTGCGCGTTTTGTCGGTCTCGTGCGTGGCTCTCTCGCCAGATGATCAAGGATGCTCCTCGATTCGATGGTCCTCGCCGAGGAAAAAACGCACACGTCCGAGCGATGCCGAGTCCGCCCCTGGCTCCGGGTGCTCCGGGGGCGGGCCCGCGGAGAGGGCCCCGGGCGCGCCTCCCTCTGGACCGGGCCCTGGACGGGCCGAGCCCTGCGCGAGGGCGCGCCCTCCCCTGGACGGGCCCTGGAAGCGCCGAGCTCGGCCCCACGCAAGAGGGGCCTCTGGCGCGCGGCTTTTGGGGGGGGGGCCACACACAAGCGCGCAGGACGCTGCTGCCGCCTCGCGTTCGGCGATCGGCCCCTCGCAGGCTCTCGCCCGGGCCCCTGAAGCTGCGCATCCCTGGAGCCT